TTCAGAGTGATGGTGAAATAGATGGGGATATTATCAGCAGAATTCAAGTTGGATGGTTGAAGTGGAGGAATGCATCGGGCTTGTTATGTGATAGAAATGTACCCCTCAAACTTAAGGGAAAATTCTATAAGATGGTAGTGAGGCCTGCAATGCTTTATGGTGCCGAATGTTGGCCATTAAAGGAGAAGCATAATACAAAGTTAAATGTGGCAAAGATGAGGATGCTCAGGTGGATGAGTGGCTTTACCCTTAGAGATAGGTTACGAAATGAGCATATACGTGAAAAGGTTGGTGTAGCTCCAGTAAAAGATAAGATTAGAGAGAGTCACCTTAGATGGTTTGGTCACATAAAACGACGTCCTTCTGATGACCCGGTTAGGAGAGTAGAGGTATTAGATTTGACTTATGTTAAGAAAGGTAGGGGTAGACCTAAAAAGACTTGGTTAGAAAATATTAAGAATGACCTTTCTTTATTAGATTTAAACGAGAATTTGACTTTTAATATGACACAGTGGAGAAAAAGGATTCATGTAGCCGACCCCATGTAGTGGGATAAAGGCTTGATGTTGTTGTTGTTGTTGTAATCAAGGCTTCCTGGTTTTTTTAAATTAATATAAACATCAGTGAAAATAAAATCATAGATCAAAATATCAATATATGCATATGTAATCCTTTCCTAAAAATCACATACACTACTTGAGATCTATACAACCATAACATATCTATTTTGCCCTGAATATAAAAGAATATCTATTGATAGAAAGAAACAAGCTAACAGTAAACTTGAATAGTAATGACTAGCCTTACACTTATGATCATCTTTCTTGATCTGAAATATTTAAACCACATATAATGAGTTAAGAAGTCCGACAAATCACCAAAAGCTATAACTGAACTTAAAGGACAATAAAGGTGTAATATGTATGTTAGCAATCAAATCATAATAGTGACATTTATATAATCATTAAATCAGTGTAGAAAAAGTAAAACACATATGTAGTAGTAGTAACATATGTAAAGCAGTAAATAGTACGATATATAAGCCAATAAAATAGTACGATTGAGAAATCAATAAATCGATATTGACGCTGAATCACTAAAGTAATCATCGTATCAGTACTATCAATTAGTAGAGAAATCGTATAAATCGATAAATCAAAATATTAGTAAAGATTATCGAAATCATATCAATCCAGTAAACTCATATAATGATGTATACATGCTAACCAATTATTCTGAATCAGTATCGTAATTGTATACTTAATATATCATGTGCTTAGTTTGTCGCATGCTCAATATTAATATAGTGAATTAATAGTATCAAACAATATTATTATCTATATATGTAACAATAATAACATAGTGGCTGGAGCAGTAAAATAATGCAGTAACATTAAATAGGTGCATTTACAATGAATTTATACAATAATATAAATAATATCTCAATAACACATATTTTAATAGTCACACTAAATAAGTAAGAAGTTATGGCTACCACAATGTTTTTCAATATTCAGTAATTGGTGGTCGACAATCGTTGGCTTACTAAACAGAGTCATCAATCTTTTCTCATCGGCACAAAAATAAATACTTATAACTCTCAATTATTCTATACTTGTATCATATATCATTAGATCATTATATTTAAATGAAAACTGTCAGCCCACCATCCTGTACAGGTCAATAATCTTCAACCAACGGGTCAATCAGTATTGGCTTATTTTTTCCATACACACATTATTATCATATTACATAACAATAATAACGATCAACTATTACTCAATCATAGATCTAAATTCATTTAAATTTTATTGCAGTAAATACAATACAATTGAGTTTAATTTAGAAATTTGAAAATATCCTAACGATACATGACATAAAACTTTGTTGAGCAAAAAATCACATTCTTAAAAATTAACCAAAATACTAGTATATAGCAATATTCTGAAGCTTTAATTGAACTAAAACACTATTTTTAGATGTTAAAATAAAATTTTGAACTAAAGCGAGGTATTTTTCTTGGAGGACTATGTCGTGGACCATTTTACTGTTCATTGATGCGAGAGACCGTTCGTTCTTATGCTGACTTAATTCATAGAACCCAATGGGGGTATTTATAGTTGCATTAGGGGGAAGATGAAAAGTTTCTCTATAACTTTTTATAATAAAAAATTATAATTTTTTGAATTTTAAGAGACAAAAAGTACTTATTTTCATTTAATATATATAAAAGGGGAATTTAAAAGGACATTCAATACTTTTTCTATAAATATTTTTAAAGTTTTTAATTTTTTTTTTTGGAAATTTAAAAGCACCTAATTAATTACTTCTATTTTAAAAAAGAAAATAATTTCAAAAAAATAAAAAAATGAATTAAAAAATTTTATATGTGAGGCGGCATAATAGCCACCTCAATCTAGGGATGTCAATATTTGACCCGACTCGAACCCAAACAGAGTCGGGTTTGGGTAAGAGATTTTGACCTGTTTGTCGTCGAAGTTTCTTTCCGTCCATCGCTGGAATTTTTTCTCGAACGTCGTCGAAGTTTTCTTCTTGACAGTTGTCGGAGTTGTTCCCGATTGTCGCCAAAGTTTCATTATATATATATAATTATATGCATGTTCAAACTTGGATTGCATAAGTTTTGAATCCATTAGCAAGGGTATCAAACTGTGTTAAAGAGTCGGGTTCAAATTTTGCCCGAATCAATCAACTCGAACTCAGCCTGTTTAATAAAAAGTCAAAAAGGTGGACCCGAACCATAAGCAACTCAAATGATTTAAATCGGAGGCAATGAAAGCTCTATCCTAGCAAGGAAGGGTTGAGACTATTATTGAAGTCCTTCTCCAATGAGATCCTATTTTCATCTACTTATCCCTATTTTTTTAATGCGTTACAAAAGAGAAGGCTGGTTAAAAAAGGGGTGCAACATGAGAACTTTTCAAGATGTCACCCATCCTAGTACCATTCTTGCCCAAACACGCTTGACTGTAGAATTCCGATGGGATCCGGGGCTTAACGAAAGCCGTTATCAAGATCGTGACTCATGAGTCGTGAGAGAGGAGTTAAGGATTTGGATTAGGGATTTTGACCCAACCCGAACTTGAACTGATTTGGGTTTGAGTTAGGGATTTTGACCCTTTTGTCGCCGAAGTTTCTTTTCGACCATCGCCAGAGTTTTTTCTAGACTGTTGCCAGAGTTTTCTTCCTGACTGTTGCTGGAGTTGTTCTCGACTGTTGCCAAAGTTTCATTATCTATATATAATTCTATGCATGTTCAAACTTGGATTGCATACGTTTTGAATCCATTAGCAAGGGTATCAAAATGGGTTAAATAGTCGGGTTCAGATTTGGCCAGAATCGATCAACTCGAACTCATCATGTTTAATAAAAAGTAAAAAAGGTGGACCAGAACCACAAGCAACCCAAATGATTTAAATCAGAGGCAATGGAAGCTCTATCATAGCAAGGAAGGGTTGAGATTATTGTTGAAGTCCTTCTCCAATGAGATCCAATTTTTATCTACTTATCCCTATTTTTTTAATGCGTTACAAAAGTGAAGGCTGGTTCAAAAAGGGGTGCAACATGAAAGCTCTTCAGGATGTCACCCATCCTAGTACCACTTTCGCCCAAACAAGCTTAACTGTAGAATTCTGATGGGATCTGGTGCAGTACTGGTACATCCAATGACGAAGCCAGAAATTTTGTTCAGGGGGCTTAACAAAAGCCGTTATCGATAGCATGACTCGTGAGTCACGAGAGAGAAGTAAAGGGGAAAATGAACCATTGATGCTTTTCATGTGTCCAGAAAAAAAATGTTGGTGGCTTTTTGGGATTATTATATAGCTTTAAATGGAAGAATTACACAAATTAGAGCAGGATTTCTCATTGGCAAAATTGCTGCTCTATTAAGCCACTGAAACAATGACCTTAAGTCCCTTTGGGCTTTCAGTTTTAGCTTTAGTATGAAAGTGAAAAGAGGAGCCGAATATACATAGTATTGATTTAGTTGGGTACACTGTCATGAGTGCGCGGCTGCAGCATTTCCGTTGCACAAAAAAAGCGAGAAAAAGCAAAACCCTTCACAGTAATTAATTAAATCATTAGCAGTGCAAAAGTAATTACATAATTGGGTGGATTTAATATTTAATCATTAATATTAGATAATAAAATAGTTAGTTAACTATAAACATTTTAATAAAATCATATTTAAATAGTTAAATATTTAAATAATTAATCAAATAGCCCTGTAACTCTACGTCAAAATCTCTTTTCATCATTCTTTCCACAATGGAAAGTCATTGCTCCCTCCCTTTCAATATTTTACCCCATTAGTCTTTCTCGCTCTACAGCTTTAAGTATTGCATGGTATGAGTAGAAAGTGGATTGAATACTTGAAATGTAAAAAGCCTGTACTAAATAAAATAAAAGCTGACAATTTTTTACAAGAGTTACTATAATGTGCAACTATCAACTTTTTACTCTTCTCGTAAGCAATTTTTTTTTATTGGGGAGCATTTGCCCACCGTTGCCCTCCCCCCTCCCTCCGCCCATGAGTACATCTCCTCATCCATATTATCTTTTGCTTTGTCATGGTCTAAGATTTATTTATTAGCAAAGTTAAAAGAGGATGGTAAATATGTAAATAATAAAATTTAATGTAAAATATGTAAATGATGAATTTAGAGTGCTATATATATACATTTCTTCAATAAAAGAAATATATATGCTTACTATATAATTCTGATGTATTCACATATTTAATGTTAAAATTTTTATATTTATTTATATAACACTTTTGGCTTTCTATCACATTTAAATATTTATATTTTAAATAAATTATATATTAATGAATTTTCTATATATATAAAAAACATAGACGGTATTTGCCTTGCATGAATCATAATTATCTAATCCGTCGGATCGCTAATCTCCTGCAGAAGAACGATTCGGGAACCGTCAGATCTCGTAGATCCAGAGTGGTTTCACAAACCCTAGCTTTATAAATTGCCCATCTGCGCTCACTAAAAACCCGCACAATATATCTCTTTCCACCGCGTCATCTCATCCGTTGTTGTCCTGATCCCCTTCTCTTCGTTTCGTGACATCCATTGTTACATTTTGGTGTTCTCTTTAAGGTAAATTCCTGGCTTCCTCTTTCCGTTTTCAATAGCCATCGTGTTTTTTTGAGGCTCTCTTTGTTTGGTAGATTGTAGAGCTTGTGTTCAGGTCATTTAGGGTTTTATTTGGGACAAGTGACTGTGCGATACGATGGCTTCCTTTATTTTGTCGGTTGGAGAATTCGAGATCTGCTAGAGTTTTTTTCCTCTTTTTTGTAGGTCTTCTGTCATAGACTTGTTGAAACCCCAGTTTGCTTTTTGAAACACTTTGCACGTTCTCTCAAATTTGCAGTTTTTAATTGACGGGATTGTGTTTTTCATTGATTGTTTGATAAATTAGTTCATTTTTTTAAAATCTTGAAAATAAGATTGTTTGTGAGTGCAGGTTTGTTTGATTTTGCTTAAGAAATAGGAAATGTACCCGTCAAAGGGTGGTGGTGGTGGATTTACTGGGCAGCAAAATTTTGCTGCACAACAGGCTTATGGTCAACTTGTAAGTTGTTTTACTTTCAAGTTCTGTCGGTTTTCATCTCTATCATTTTTTTTTCTGTTTTGATTTTTAATTTTACCCGATCTGGTGTTGTAATTGTTTTGTTACCTCATCAAGAATAAATAGAAAGAATAAGTTTCCTTCATTTTGGACATTTTCTGCTTTTGCTTTTCAGCCTGGAACTGGTTTCTCCGGTAATCCTGCTGCTGGTCCTGAACTGGGAAATCAACATACCCTGGCATCTCGCCAGGCTTCAATGATGGGTATGTCCCAAGAAACAGATGCAACCGGATATCGGAGCCATCCTACACAAGCAGCTCAATATGGAGGGCCTTATGCTTCTGTCTATGGCTCGGCTGCATTGAGCAGTGGACAACAGGTTGTAGTTTAGGAGACATCCACTTTTTTCGTTAACAAGTAACATAATGCCCTGTCTTCCATTGCCAGCCCTTTTTAACTGTAGTGCAATACGTGTTTTTAATCATATAAATCTTTCATACAATCATATTTCATCTTTCCGATGTAAATTACTCTGGATTCATTCCACCCTTGTGTGCTCATCTGGTGCCTCGTAGAATTTTGCAACTAACATAATAGAAATGACATATTTTTTCTTTTTTTTTTGTTGCAAATGTTCTTTCCTGTTGCTTGTTCTTGGTGTTTGAATTTGAATTGTTTGCTAATTGTTCTGTGTTGTGTGTCTTTTGCTATTTCTTTTGTAGCTGAAGTATCCCTTCGTAATGCTTGGCTAATGTAATTTACAAGTTTCCTTTGGAATATCGCTTTATCTGTTAGTTCCAGATTGTTGACGGCACATCTTTTACTTGTGCTTATTTGCATCTATGTGTTATATTAACATGAGTAAACCTCGGTATATTATTGCTTTCAGAAGCATGTGAACTAATGTTACCAAACTTATCATTTTAGGTTGGAGCGAGCAGCAAAGGAGCGGTTTCTTCAAGCCTTAAAGGTCGGGCAGCTTATCCTTCTCCATTAGCAGAGTCATCCAAATATTCAGCAGGAGCTCTTGGCTCAGGCTTTAGTGATGACTATCTTTCAGCCTCTAATCGTGGATATGCCCAGAGGGGAGATCAGTTTCCTGGAGCAAAAAATCCTGAATATGCAATTGACAGGAGAGCTTATGGAGAAGGTGCCTATACTGGAAGGGATTTGCAGAGTGATCAAGCTAGACGATATACTGATTCTGCTTCGCTCAGCCATCAGCATCAGGTTTCTTGTCTTAAACCTTTATACTTTTCCTGCTAATTTCTTCTGTTTTATTATTCCTTGCAGTAGGGGCTATTTTTTTTAATCCTCTTACTAATAACTCCTTTCTTATTAACTGATGCAGACTGATATACATGATCATATGGAGCAGGTAAGCTTTGTCACATAAAAACGGGAAGGATGCTATGAAAAAAGTTTATGCTTATTATTATTATTTTTTATCATGTAAAGCGTTGATGATCCAGTTTTTATTTTTTTAGGCATCATTGCTACGACAGCAACAAATTATGAAGGCTCAGTCACTGCATCCTGGCCTTGATGTGAGGTATACAAATTTTCTGTTCATCTCTTAGTAAACCTACTCAGTTTAGAGGAGAGAAAGGAAATAATATATGGCTGATAGCTGCTTGATGCAGTCTATGATGTGGTTCTTCCTATTTCTGGCCAATATTTCTATGCATTTTCTTTTGTTGTGATGTTATTTTAACATGTTCTTTCTAGTAATGCAACTAAGGGTTAATTTCTTTTTCTCTTAATAAATAGACATGCACATTTCTCAGTTCCATGACAATAATATACATTTCTGGCAGACAAGCTGAATATCTTGCAGCAAGAGCTGCACCTATTCATCCTGGTTCTCAAGAATTTAGTTCATATGGTGGAAGAATGGATGTAGATCCACATGTTTTACCCATTCTTGGCAGTTCTCAGTATGGTGCACCACATTCAACTTCAATTTTAGGAGCTCCAAGGCGGAATATTGATGATCTCATCTATGCTCAAGGGTCAAATGCTACTTATGGCGTGAGTTTACCCCCAGGGCGTGATTATATGTCAGGTAAAGGCCTTCATGGTTCTGCTGTATCTGACTACCAAGGGAGCATTATTTCACGTGATCGTCTAAATCTTGGAGCTGAACGGAAGGATGATAGAGATGCATTTCGTCGAGAACTTGATATACGTGAAGAGGAGCGACTTAGAGATATGTTGCGGGAGAGGGAACGAGAGAAGGAACGTGAAAGGGATCGTGAACGTGAAAGAGATAGAGAACGAGAAAGAGATCGCCGTGACAGGGAAAGAGAACGAGATCATAGGCGTGGATTGGATTCAAGGCGGGAGAGAACACCACCTAGAGCTTCTAAAGATCGCCGAGCTTCTTCTGCAAAAAGGGATGAGAGGTCGCGCCATATCTCACCTCGTCGCTCTTCACCACGTCGAAGTTCACCTCGTCGAGTCACGCCACGTCGGGAAGCTGCGCATAGGTGGACTTAATTACTTCTTTGTAACTGGAGGTAGCTACCTGTAGGTTGCTGCTTTTGTAGTGCAGCTTTCAAAACTAACTATTTCCTCTTCTATGATGAAGGCATCGCTCACCTGTTAAAGAAAAAAAGAGAGAATATGTTTGCAAGGTAAAAACAGGATTTTTGAGTTTCATGAAATACTTTTTTGGGAATATTTTTAAACCTGGGAGATCTTGATACATCCTGCTTTCTTGACTTCTGGATCCTCCATTTCTTCATATTCCATTTGGCTTCTCTGTGGAGGTTTTCCTTTGACTCAAATTTTCTGCATGTCCTTTCTTTTTGTTGTGACCAGCTTTGTATCTTGAAATTAACAGTTTACTCTATTGATGTTGCTAATGAATGCCATCTCATCTTTTATTTGCTTTGAGGCCTTTTCTACCGCTGGTTTTCCTTATACATGATCTCATCTTGTTTGTAACACAAGCATTCATCTTGCTAATTATATTCTGCAACATTACATTAAGTTCTCATGGAAAAAAAATTAGTGGATTTGATATTTTACTTGTTACATGGTTTTTCCCCTTTTACTTGAACATACATATTTAATTTGCGGTGTTATGTATGGTAATCCTTACTTTGCAAGTTGGCAAGAAATTTCTTTCTGCATCAAACCATCAAATTCATTTATTTAAATCAGGAGAATAAAATGATAGGCACTGAAATGGTCCGTCAACTTTTGATGAATGATTTGAGAGTGTTCTTTTGCAGGTCTTTCCATTTTCCTTGCTTGAAGCTGAAAGGGATTATCTGTCCATAAATAAGAGATATCCTAGGTTATCAGTATCTCCTGAATTTACAAAGGTCTGCTTTGTTTCCTTGAATCTTTTGATCACAGCTTCCTCATACTTTCTTGTGATCACATATTAGCTATGTTATCATTCACTGTTTTTATATACAATTAGGTTGTTTTGAAATGGCCAAATGAGAATCTACATCTTTCACTGCATACTCCTGTCAGGTACTTAGCTTAAGAAGTGCCATCTTTCATTTAAATTTTAAGCCTATATAGTTCGTACAACAAATTTGATTACTGCACCAACATTCCTCTGGCTGCTTTGTTGCTACTTTATTCAACTTGTTCTTCTATGAGTTGGCAGCTTTGAGCATGATTTTATTGAAGATAACAAAAGCGAGGAGCTGGGGTTGGCTCCTGTGGAAGACTCATCTAAAAGCACAAATATAGTTTGGAATGCAAAGGTAAGTTCAATTTGAAAATTCTGAAGTCCCTTGTTTGTTAATTTTTGTTTTATATCATCTCTTATTTTGAGCAGGATGTAATAAACCACGTTCTTCTTCTCTGTCTTGTGCGTAATTCATTGTCCTTTGTAAATAAGCTCCAGATGATTTTTATTAGCTTGATTTTCTATGAATCCTCATAAACATCCTTGGTCATATTTATCTGTAAATTTTTGTTATGAATTTTTAAGCATGTGTACTGCTCTTAAAGTCTTCACAGTTGGTTTGCCAATTTGAAAGATGTATCTATTATCAACAAATCATTGCCAACTGATAATTATGGGAAATAGGAAATTTTAATGTGGTTGTTTGCCGGGCAATACTACTCTTCCTGCTTGTTGTTTTTTTTTAAGTGTGCAAAGTGCTTCTGCAATGTTCACCAAAGGGTTCTTATAATCTACAGGTCAGGGGCAATCTAAATTCTTTTTTGTTGCCACATTATTTATAATACTCAATAATAATAATTGAGAAATGAAGATTCATAATGCTGACCCCAAATAGTTTGGATAAGTCTAATGATGATAATGTGATGATGGTTAACTATCATCCATAGCATATCACACCAGTGGAAGCTCGGACAAATGAAGCCTCAATTGTTCTTGTTGTGGAGTTAAATAACATATTTACATTAATATTAATTATGACATAAGAGGCTATATTGGACGGGGAATTGAATATTACTATGGTTGTTACTCTGCTGGTGAATGTAAAATATCTTTTATTAAATGATCCTTTTTATCTAATTTTAGTTAATGCAATACATTAACAATTAGGCTTATACCAAAGCACGTATCACTCATTGCAAGTTAATAAAGTCACAAATTGCAAAATTTCTAAGAACTAACATTCACCAAAGAAGTTTTCGTACATGTGTTTGCGAATTGACAATATATTTCCATAATCTTCCATTTGCTAACAAAGAGAATATTTCATTGAAATAATTTACAAAGGCTCAACTCAAACACATGAAAACTAACAAGATAATTATAGCAACTTGGTGCATAGAGCTCCTACTAATGCAAATTAGCAGGTCTTGGTAAGGATTTGAAAAGAGTTTGTTTGCATAAATTAAAATTTGTTCTTCATAATTCTGAGAATATAATCACTTCTCTAGAACCATTTTCATTCTACTTGCCAACATAAAAAATATTATTGTCATTCTCCGAAGTTCACAATCGAGAAAAATGATTAATGTAGCCGACCCCACATAGTGGAACAAAGGCTTGATGTTATTGTTGAGATTCTCCAAAGAACTCTAAAAATTGATAAGAAAACCCTTGCATGCGAAAATTACGAAGAAATATTATAAGAAGATTAATGGGTTAACAGTGATTTGCTCCCCTTTAGCATGAAGAGCAAGGGAAACACAAGCTGTGGATTATACCTCTCACTTGTGGATTGTGTTTGCAAATTAATAGTTTATTCTACGTATTCCATTTATTAACTAAAAAGAATTTCACTGAAACAGTTTACAAATGTTTAACTTAAACAAACATTACAAATGGGATGATAACTGTGGCATGCCATGCTTACAATGAAAAACAGTGAATGGCATACATGTGAAACTCTTTTAAAATCGATGAGAAAGCATCTCTGTTGATGGAAAGCAGAAAGTTTTGCTCAGCATGAGAAAATCAACAAAGAAATCGTGTTAAGGATATTCATATGAAAGAATTTACTTGGGTCCCTTGCCTTGAAAAAAGAGAAGATTAAACCTATTGCTGAAAAGGACATATTGGAGGACATTGAAGTTGAAGAGTGATGGGAGACTATTGATTTTACTATCTTTTTTGAATAAAAATTGAATAATGAGGATGAAAGTCATAATATATTTTCTTACTTTAAAGCATATTGCATGCTATTTGTGTAATTAAATATACCATATAAACAATCAGTGGGGTGGTTATATTTACTTACCTGATCCAACTTAGGCTTTTACTTGAGCTAATGACACCTAAGGCAGTATATAGGTTCTTTCCGGATTAACATGAATGACATTTCATTTTGCGGTAATGATGAAATTGCACTTTTTCCGGGTTTGCTTGTGTTAGATTCAATAGCCTTAATTTAATTATCAGCTTGATTAAACCTGTCAAATATCTGATTATAAGCTGTTATAATATCTTATGTGAAATCTTTTGTATATATGTTTGAATTCCTTCGGCAGGTTATCCTGATGAGTGGGGTCAACAGTGATACTCTGGACGAGTTGTGCTCTGATAAAAGTTCTGATGACAGGCTAATTCACTTAAACAACTTCTTGAGGTTTGCTATTCTAAAGAAGGAACATTCATTTATGGCTATTGGAGGCCAGTGGAAAGAGACATTGGATGGTGCCGAGCCATCAATTGATGGTTCTTCGCTGATCCAAACAGCTAAGAGGTGATTAAAACTTATATTCCTGTAATGAAAAAAAAAAAAAAAAAACCTTTTACTGTTTCAATTCGTTTTTAGTTGCAGCTGTTTGCCTGTTCAACTAAATAGTAGGCTATATCTTTGCAGATATGTTAAGGATATAACTCAACTTGATTTACAGAACTGTCAACACTGGAACCCTTTCCTTGAGGTTCTCCTCTTTTCTTTTTCCCTTTTTTTGTGTGCTAGTAAATGATCATGTAGTTCTTGCATGTTGCCTAATCTTAATTTTATTTGCTAAATGTCTTGGTGCTGTATTTCTCTTTTGGGTAATTTTTTTTTTTTGCCATTTCATAGTATTAAAAACTCATTTATTATCAGAGCTTAGGATAGACTTCTTTCTTTTGAAACTTTGCACAGTTCTATTGAATTCAATCACCTTTTTATTCTCTTTTAATTTTTATTTCTAACATTGTATCACTTATCGTTAGGATCATGATGTTTATACAATCTTTATTTAGGTTTTTGCGCTTAATATTGTTCTCCAATGGTAAGGATCTTGAGACGCTATTATCTGCCCTTTGGTCTTCAAATTAGCAAGTTATTTGGTTTTTTTGTTAAAGAGGTGTGCAGAACGACGCAGTCAACTTTTCTAGCAAACCAATGCATTAGTGTCAAAGCATTGAATTGCCAACGAACTCTTTTTTTTAATTCTTAATTGTTACTTGTGTAGGAACATTCATAAGCTATTTAAAAATACTATCGTGGCCTAAAGCTGAAGATTTTATACTTTAAGAGAAAAGAAGAGTTTTACTTAAAATTTGACTGAGTTATTTTGTAGTTGAAAACAAACATGGCGTGTCATAAAACTTGTAACATAAATTAATGAAAAACTAATTGAAACTATATACTAGATTCGAATCAAGGATATTTCATCATCCAAGATAAGCTAATCTCAGCTTCGAAGTCATTAAACTGTTCATTTAATGAAAAACCATTTTAATTTTTCAGCATTTGACAAATAAGCTTATTATTAACTAAAATTACAGAAGTATGAGAATGCATGGTATATTCTCTTTGCAGAGAGCACTGAATGTTTAATTGTCAATAAATCACGACTGATGAAGTTTAAAGATTTTTAATTACTTTCTAATCAAGATGATGGCATGATAATATGTCCTCTATTGTAGTTTTGAGTTTAAGTTTAATTTTGAAAATGGAAAAAGGTTGTTGGCTTAATCAAACCGTGAACTAAAATCATATCAAGAAGGCCTTAGCTTCTTAACTAAGCTATAATTAGTTCCAAAGTAACAAACTGTATGCTTCTTGAAAATTATTTTTCAAGTTTTATGATATATGGGCAACGTAAACTTAAAACATGTAATAGTACCTGAAATGTATTTATTTCAGTCTAAAGAAAATGTGGAAAAAGGTGTAATTTGGAATAAATCTTCTCAAAATAGAGTTAATTTATGATGGGAGTTGTAAACAAACCATTGCTTATTAAGTGTTTCCTTGAATATATGTTCCATCATAATCCACTTTGGTTAGATATATAAAGAGGGCGAAAGATGAGGATATAAAATTCAGAAAATTGGGAAATATTTAAAGAGGTCTGCGAGGAGTCTAAGAAATTAATACAATAATTTAGTTTTTAATGATTCGTATAATATATTAGATTCTAAGGAGGGCGAAAATATATGTATAAGATAGTCAAGCAAAGAGAGGAGAATTAAGGATTTAATTCAAGTGAAGTGCATTAAATATGAAGTTTAAAAAATGCTTTAGAAGAGCATATTTAACAAAAATGGAGGAGATGTTTTGATGAGCTTTTCAATGAAGATTGTGAGAATATGATTGATTTTAGTGACCTTAGCACTTCAAATAAAAATAGAGATTTTACTTTTTATCGTTGTATTAGTAAAACTGAAGTTAGAGAGGCATTAAAGAAAATGGAGCATGGAAAAGCCGTTGTACTTAATGATATTCTAATATAGGAGATGAAGGAATTTCTTGGCTTACAACAAAACTTTTAAATATTATTTTAAAGACTAAAAAGATGTCAGATTATTGGAGGAGTGTGATTCCTATTTTTATTAATAAAAGTGATGCACAAGTGTTTGCGAATTATAGAGGAATTAAGTCAATGTGTTATATTAAAACTACATGAGAGAGTTATTGAGCATAAGTTATGTTGTGATACTAATGTTTCTTAAAATCAAATTGGATTCATGCCGGGTAGGTCTACTATGAAAGATATACATTTATTGAGAGGGTTGATGGAGAAGTATAGTGAGAAGAAGGAGGGTGTATATATGATATTTATTGATTTAGAGAAAGAATATGATAAATTTTCTAGAGAAGTGCTTGGAGATTTCTAGGAAATAAATGAGTTAATGCTTATATTTTAATTCATTAAGGATATGTATGCAAGAGCTATTACTTATGTTCAAACACATGATCGTTTGACCAAGTATTTTCTTATTTCAGTTGGATTAACCAAGGATAATCTTTATGCCCATATTTTTTGCTTTAGTCTTGGATGTTCTTACAAAATATTTGCAAGAGGATGTGCCCTGGTGTATGCTTTTTGCTGATGATTTTCTTCTTGTTGATAAGACTAGAGAGAGAGTTGAAGGAAAACTTGAATTATGGAGATCAACCTCAGAGTCTAAAGGTTTTCGTTTGAGTAGATCCAAAATCGAATACATAAATTGTAATTTTATTGCTAATAGATCTAATGGGGGGATTGTGACTTTGGACGATCAAGTCATAAATAAGAGCATATGTTTTAGATATCTTGGGTATATTGTCCAAAATGATGGTGAAATAGATGGGGGTATTATTATTAGAATTCAAATTGGATGGTTTAGGTGGAGGAATGTATAGGGCTTGTTGTGTGATAGAAAAGTATCCCTTTAACTTGAGGGAAAATTCTATAAGATAGTGGTGAGATTTGCAATACTTTATGGCGCATAATGTTGACCATTAAAAGAGAAGTATAAAATTAAGTTTAGTGTAGCAGAGATGGGGATTCTAAGGTGGATGAGTGGCTTCACTCTTAGAGACAAAATGCAAAACGAGTATATATGTGAAAATGTTGTAGTGGCTCTAGTGGCAGATAAGAGTAGAGAGAGTCGCCTTAGATGTTTTGGACGCATTAGACGTCGGCCTTTTGGTGTTGCAGTCATGAGAGTTAATGTATTCGATTAGGCTTATGTTAAGAAAGGTAAATGTAGACCTAAAAAGACTTGGTTAGAAAATCTTTGAAATGATATATTTTTATTAGATATAAATAAGAATTTGACTCTTAACATGACACAATGAGGAAAAGGGATTTATGCAGCCGACTCCATTTAATGGAATAAAGAATTGATGTTGTTATTGTTGTTTAGTCTTTTTTGTTTGAGGAAGTTTTTTTTTCCATGAGATTGTTGCTTTATAATTCTTTGTTATTACTGCATGGGAATTTAATTGGCGTACTAATGCCTTAGATTTTCTCTAAAATCATAGCTAATTCACGCATTAGAACGCATGACTTTATCTTAAATTGGGAATTAGGATTCTGATATATTTTTTATGTAAATTAAAATTGTGGGCACTTGCGCAGTTTAACTAGAATATAGAAGATGAAAAATGTGGCCATAATACATTTGGTGGACAAAGCTTAATGTGTTTAAAGTTAAATGAGCAGAAACTAATATTGGTGAACAAAAGTGTCAAAGCTATGGACAACATACCAACCTTTAGGTAAATATATATTGTGAAACTTGTTACATTTCTTAAACAAGGTGTTCAAGCTTCAATAGATTATTATATAGAGGTGATTTTCAATATGTTAAGTTTATCGAAGTCCAAATGATAAAACCTTGTCAGTACAAATAAAATAAAATAAAAAAGAATTTGAAAACTGATTTCACTTGTATACAGAATTCTTTAGTACTTTTTCAGTTTTTCTTGGTCAGTAACTCAGTATGGTTCATCTGCATTATAAGATGAAAAATATTGGTAAAAGTATGTATGCCTCAAGTATGACTCCATTTTAATTGAATAAATAATAATTTATCATTCGGAAAAGGTTTTATTCTAGTTTGCATCATTGACAATTTTCATGATTCACTACATTTTTTTTGAGCTTCTTTTGATCAATTTTGTGGCTGATAACTCTAACTCATATTATTAGACACCAACAATAAAGGAGTTCCATCCTGATTTTGAAACTAGCCTTACGTTTAATTGTACTGGGTATGTTTTTTGTTTCCTAATTTTAAATCATTGACAGATACACTACAACAGGATTGGTAATGATGGGTTGTCTAGTTTTAAAGAAATCACTGTTTTATTTGTTCCGGACCTGTTGGAATGCCTACCTTCATTAGATTCCTGGCGATCTACGTGGCTTGCTTACCGAAAGGAGATTGTGGAGAGGGAGAAGGAACTAGCTTCAAAGAAAGAAAAGGTTCTAAAACATATTCTTTAAACTTTTCTAATAACTTTGTTATTCATGGTATCATATAATTGGAGCTTCTGTTTCTCTGCTAATACAGAAATCAAGTGAAAAGGAGTCCATACAAGGTAGAGTTTTTATTGGCTTTCCACCAATTTAATTATTGCTGTGTTAACTCTTTCTGTTGAGTTTTAATTTTTGAGGAAGATAATATCGTGGAATCTTTAGGTGATCATGGTTCTAGCAAGTCTAAGAAGACTGCCACTACCATGAAAACTGGAAAAGTTGATGACGGGTCAAGTAAAGATGACAAGATTAGCAAAGTTGATGACAGGTCAAGTAAAGATGACAAGATTAGCCAAGTTGATGACAGGACAATTAAAGTTGAGAAGATAAGCAAAGTTGAGGAAACTAAAGATGAGGGTGATGATTTCAAAAATTCAAGTGAACAGAAACGAAAATTACCTGAATTAGCTGAAACTTCCACTGAGAAGAATGATGAAGCAATGGTTGGCGATGATAGAACTGATGATAAGAAAGCCTTGGATCTGGCTTCCTCTGATCCAAAAGTTGAAGTTAAGAAGCCAGCAAAGAAGAAAATTATCAGGAAGGTTGTTAAAGGGAAGACTGTTGATAAGAAAGAAACTTCAGCTATTGATGAGACTGTTGCCAAACAGGATGACAAGGCTCAAAAAGACATTGAAAACAAACAAACTGGCCAAGAAAACATTGCTCTAATAAACGATAGTATAGCTGAACCTGAAAAAGTTAAGACTTTTGTTAGAAAAAGAGTTGTTAGAAAGGTTGCTGTAGGAAAATCTTCTCAAGTGGAAGATAATAATGTTACAGAGAAGAGTACGGAACAAGATATAAAATCTCAGGAAGAAAAAGCTAAAAATGATAAAGGATTGACAGTGGATACTGCTCAGCAGACTTCTGTCGCCAAGGTAGCTGGTAAGAAAAGAATTATTAGAAGGGTAATAAAGAAAAAAGTTGTACCCACTGAAGTCAAATCTGAAGCTGACCTTGCAAAAGACGTGCAAGCAGAAAGTAAAACTTCTGTGCTAAAAAACATCAAAGAGGAAGATCTGCAAATAGTAAAGGAAGAGCATGACCTGTCCGAATCAAGTCTTGCTGAAAGTAAGCTAAAAGATGAAAAGAAAACTAATGAGGCCACTGATGATAAAAAGGTGCTTCGAATGGATAAAGTTTCCAAAACTGAAAAACATGTTTCAACTAACAGCGAACTGGAGGCCCCAAAGCTCAAAGATTCTGAAAAAGATGCACGCAATGCCAAAGGGGAGGGATCAAGACATGATAAAGGGGAGGGATCAAGGCATGATAAAGGGGAGGGATCAAGACATGATAAAGAGAAGAGGAATAAAAACGCAAAGGAAAAAGATGCCAAGCATGATACTAGGAACAAATCATCTAAAGAAACAAAGGAAAAAGTGAAGCCTGACGAACCTCCTAAACAACCAGGATTGTTTCTAAAGACCAAGAGGACTAAGGGATCGAAAGTATGTTAAATTATGTTTTAACTTTGAATTTTTTGTACTTGTCCTAGTGCTTAGTCTAGGAAATGTCAAACTAATTTGGATTTTATTAATACAGGTTCGTTCACTGTCCCTTTCATTGGCTGGACTGCTGGAGTACAATGACAAGGACACTGAAGAATCAACTTTTGAGGTTCTTTTTTACATTATCTTTTTCACATAAATCCTTGTAAATGAATTTGATTGCTCTTGTAATTTTCATTCGGATATCCCTTGATTATGTTATTCTGCAGCTGTCACTTTTTGCCGAGTCATTCAATGAAATGCTTCAGTACCAAATGGGATGCCGCATTCTATCATTTCTTGAGGTAGAATATAATTTTGCATTAAGTTTTATTTTTGCATGCATGAATTAGTGGTGATTTTGTGGTTGTTTTTGTATGCTAGAAACTACGGAAAAGGTTTGTTATTAAGCATAAACAACGCAAAAGACTACGTGAAGAAAAAAATGAAAAAGAAATTGAAGCAAAGTTAGCCTCAGGTAAACGTCAAAAGATCAATGATAAGTCCCATGCTGAAAAGGAGCCTCTCAAGCTTGGAGCACAGGATCATACAGATCAGTATCATGATGAAAACAATTCTAGGAATGAAGAAGCAACTGAAGTAGATAAATCTGATCAGGAGAAGAAGTCAGATGTTGATGAATTGGATGAAGAGGAGGATCTGGAAGAAATGTATGAAGAGTATGAGGAAGTGGAGGAAGCTGCAACTGCAAGTGATGCAGTTCTGGAGGCAAGTGATTACTTATTTGTCATTCACTCTTATTTGAGTTCTTTTCAATGTCTTTGCAAGCCAGTTTTGAAATTTGTTTTATTTTTAAATATTTATCACCTTGATTTGGTGTGAATGATGAAGCAACTGAGTGCTAAAACTCAAAGCATCGTGCAATATTTACTGTGCTGATCAAAAGATTTTTTTGCCGTTCCCTAGAGAGGATCTCATTTGGGCTTGATATTTACATAAGTCATTTAGTATTTTAAGTCTTTGGGACTCTTTTAAATCATAAATTTGGGTTGTGGCAATGTGCTTGGTCTTTGATTATTTTAAATTTTATTTCAGATAATGATGTCATAAAAATTCTGATTATACTCTATCCCCTCATCTGATATTCCTGAAATCACTTTTTGGGTTGTCTTTATGTCCTTTTTCTATGGCGGTCCTTCAATCATCTTCTGAGCAATCTCCTCAGAGTCAATTTGTTTCCTAACTTGCTATAGTTCCATTACCTGTATTTATGGTCTTAATTTTTCCGCATCATATGCCGTCTTTTGTTTCCATTTGTTTCATTTCTCAGGCCAGACTGATGGTTGGGTTTGGCTCTTGATATCTTCTATCCAACTTGTATTTGGATTTTGTAACCACTCAGGTTCCAATATGTGCTGATCATGTTTGGTCTGTCTGTGTTGATCGATGTTTGGTCTCTGTTTGACCCTTTGGATTTATGATTGAGTATAGGATGGACTGAAATGGTTGGCCTATAAATAGTGTTAAGGGTAAGGGAGCTTAAAGAGCAGTTTTGCTTACGTGCCCGAGGGTTTGTTAGTTTTTTAAATCCAATGAAAGTCCGTTGCATGTTTTGTTAGGAGAATGAATCTTGCATTGATAGGAAATGCTTGATAGAGATGTGAGAGTTACCTTGAGGTGGTATTGGCGGCATCCATAAAGATGGTGTTGATAGGAAATGCTTGTAGGCACAAGAATTTACCTTGCTGAATTGGAATTCGAACTTTAGCACTGGCAAAAACAAATTAGAAAATAATTTGAAAGAAATATCCATAAATAAACATACTTATTGATAAAAGATGAAAGAAAATGAACATGATATAATGGATCCTCAATTGGAGAGGAGGATTTGTCTCTTCCAATCTCTAGCCGGTGGCTAGAGCCAAAGCAAACCCTAAGAACTCTCTAAAATTCAGCAAATATCCAGATAGCCTAAACAATCACATATATTTAAAGCATACAAATATGATCCCAATTATTAAACAACCCTTCCCTAAATCAAATCATGCCTAAAACAACCCTTCCAAAACAAGCAATGGGCCCACAAAATTAGCCTCCACCCCCTCTTTAATTCAACCATGCCTAAATTTCCCCCTTCCTCTTCAAGCAATGGGCCCCACAAGGTGGTTGGCTCCTGGCTTGGCCGTTTAGAGTAAACTATCACTAGGTCTGGTTCCGGCGGCCCTCCTTGGGCCGGTTTTGGTCTACCAATACCCCTTTCCAAAGACCCACATTGTCTGCTAGGTGGAAAGTTGTCTCATTCTTCAACTTCCTCATTATAAAAAATGGTGAGAACTTGAAGAGCTCGGTCCTTATATTTGTGCCTTGGTGTATATCTCTCCTCACATCTGAAACAGATCCCTTAGCCCTTTTCTCTTATAACTCTGTTTCTGTGAGCTTCTTGAAGTTGTCTCCAAGTCTTTCACCTACAATTCTCCGTTGGGTCTCCCGAAGAGTATTCGGTGTTGGCTCCTTGGGTGCCAAAAAGGTGGTGGTCATCCTGCATGTGCCTTCCGTCTCTCTATCTAGGTGCCTCAGTTCCTCAACCAAGCTAGATCCATATCCCTCCCAAATTACGAGACCTCATCACTCAATTTCTCTTTGAATATCTGGTTTAAGCCATTTCATAAAGTTCCCTTTTAGTACAATCTCTGGGAGTTGGTCCAGTTTGCTAGATAGGTGCTCAAACTGTTCATGGTATTCCACCACTGTCCCCTTTTGCATCCGGACGAAGAACTGCTCATAGAAGTCCCCTCTTCGACTGGTTCAGAAACATTCCAATAAGAAATCCTTAAAACTCCCTATAAGTTTGTATGGGTCGCCTGGTATCCCTCCACTGGTATGATACCAACGCTTTCCTCTCCAAGCACATCCTGGTTGCCGTCAATCTCTCCTCCTATGTCAATAGATTGATAGTAAAGCATTTCTCCACCTTGTAGATCCACCCATGTGCATCATCTCCCTAAAAAATATGCATCTTCATTTTTCTCTCTCAAATCTCCTCCGTCACCCTTGCTTCCTCCAAAGTTTCCCATTACTCAAGGGCATAGTTCCCTCCAATTGTGCCAATCATCCATTCTACACTCGCACCCAAACCTTTCATCACAAGCCCACCTTCTCCCATCAAATTCAACACCCCTTCTATCATATTCAGCACATCTCCTTTCAAATTGAACACCTCTTCGATCATAATCAAGCCCTTGCCTTCAAATTCAACCTTTCTTTCAAATTCGACTCCTTCGATCATAATCAAGTCCTCACTTTTCAAATTCAGCCTCAGCCACTCTCCTTTCAAATTAACACCCCTCCACCATGCCCAATCCCCTCGCGCCTCTCTTCATACCCTCTACCTAACTCCTCCCTAGGAATAGGCTCTAGGGGAGGCATTTTTTTGCTTCATCCAAAATCTCCATCTCTTGATCTTCCATTTGTCAGATTGGCTTAGGATTGTTCTCACTTCCTTTGTTGTCGGCAGCTTCCCTCCCCTCCATTGCTGTCGGCAGCTTCCCTCCCCTCCAATGGCGATGTTTTGATTTGTCCCTCAAGTAATTTCTTCAACATGTCCTCATGGATCGAAAATTTTATGTCGATCTTCTCATGGAGATTGAGATTTCACTTTTTTAATCTGAAACATGAGCTTGGAGATCTGAAATTTCAGATTTCATTTGTTCGATCTCCCATTCCAATACTTCCATCTTTCTGCCCACCATAGGTCCTTGGATTTTTGTTGGACTAAAAAATCGTTATTTCCACCCCAAAAACATCAAAAACAGCGGTTTGAAGGAGAAAAATTGCTGTTGGAATCGGCCCAAACAGCCCCAAAATTGCCTTAAACACTGCTCTGATACTAAATTGATATGAAACACTCATAGGCATAAGAATTCCCCTTGTTGACAGATTAGATAAGAATTTTGAAGAAATAATCAGAAATAGTCCTTTTTATTGATAAAATATGAAATAAAACGAACTAGATATAGTGGATTCTCAGTTGGAGAGGAGGATCTGTTTCTCCCAATCTTTAGCTGGCGCCTGGCGGCTAGAGCCCAAGCAAACTTTAGTAACTCTCTAAAATTCAGCAAATATCCAGATAACCCTAACCCTAAACAATCTCATCTATTAAAAGCATACAAATATGAAAAAAAAAACAAATATGATCCAAAAATAAAAGAAAAAAAAACAAATAGATACCAATTACTAAACAAACCCTCCCTATATCAAATCATGCATAAAAGGTGTTTGCAATAAGATGTTTGGGTAAGAGAGAGCGAGGGAGCCAATAGTAGGGACAATGGCCTTAGCAATTAAAGGGAAAAGATAGCCAAGAGGTGGCTGTCTATGTGGAGTGGGAATCACATGTATTGGATCACCCAATAGTGATGTTATTTTGGCAAAAGATTTTATGCAGAAAAGGTTGGGATAACTGGGATTACTTGTGTTGGCTGTACCAACTGCGTGGGGACAATGAGTTTTAACTTGCAATTCTTTACTAAATTAGATGGATAGGAATAGAAAATGAGAATAGAGTGCTTTCTAGGGTTTGATGTTGGGTATTTGCATGTATAATAGATAATCGTTGGACTTGTACCCATCTGATAATAATGTGTACGATTCCAGATATATTTCATATATAAAACTGAATATTTATACAGAGGAATTTGGTGGGGGGGGGGGGGGGGGATGCCTTTAGGCCAGCCGTGGGAATAAGTCATCTAGCTGCCACACTTGATTCTTGTATGGAGTAATAGTATGAGACCGATAGAAATATATTATGTTAGAGAGAATTACCCTGGGGCTTTAGGTTGCGTATTTTTATGCATGATAGATCAGGTTAATGTTTCGTTTGGGACTACTTTCTTATTGCTTTTTAAAGCAACTTTCTAATACAAAAATTTAAAATTTTATACTAAAAAGCAGTTTTAAAAAACAGTCAAAAAGCAGTCTCAAACGAAGCCTAAGACTGTGCACTTGTCCTGGTATATTTCCTATTTCCTATATAAAACTAAAAAAATTATGCGGAATATAAACTGTATTAGGTTTTAGCTTGAATCTGCTTCACACCATCCATTTTCAGTTCTAGAAATGCTAATTTGATTTTTTTATTAGTCATCTGCATTGGTTTACAAGAATGTATGAGATTATGAATCCGCATCTCCGTGAAACCTAATCAATCTTTTGAAATGACAAGATTTGCAAAATTTCTTGAAGGTGGAGGAGGTTTTGATTGAAGAAGTTGACAACAAATCAAAATCTGAGGTTCCAACTAAGGATGACCAAGGCAAGGAAGATTCTAGCCGAAAGAACGCCAAAGAAACTGAATCCAAGGAAGAACAAAGCAGCAATGGGAGCAAGGATGAGAAAAAGCCTTCATCCGAAAAGTCTGATTTGGTGGATGAGGTTGTTGACAAGGAACTTCTACAGGTAAAATATTTTTGTCCTGCATGTTCATTCCTGGATACAGGATTTGCATTTTATATCGTGTTGCTGGTTTTTACTAAGTTAAGTGTTGCAGAGATGAGGATGCTTAGGTGGATGAGTGGCTTTACCCTTAGAGATAGGATACGAAATGACCATATATGTGAAGAGGTTGGAGTAGCTTCAGTGGAAGATAAGATTAGAGAGTCGCCTTAGATGGTTTGGTCACATTAAATGGAGGCCTTCCAATGATCCGGTTAGAAAAGTAGAGATTTTAGATTTGTCTTATGTTAAGAAAGGTAGAGGTAGACCTAAAAAGACTTGGTTAGAAAATATTAAAAATGACCTTTCTTTATTAGATTTAAATGAGAAATTGAATTTTAACAGGACACAATGACGAAAAAAGATTCATGTAGCCGACCCCATGTAGTAGGATAAAGGCTTGATGTTATTGTTGTTGTTGTATTGTGTTGCTAGTTTTTATTTTTATTTATTTATTTTTATTATTTTTGTTTGAAACAGGCTTTCAGATTCTTCGATTATAACAAAGTTGGGTACATCAAGGTACTGTATCTCAATCTTTCTTAGTTTATTATTTAATATATATTTTTACTTGGCTTGTTAATGCTGGATCTGTTTGTAGATGGATGATTTGAGATGCTTACTTCATGACCTTGGCAAGTTTCTTTCTCACCGAGACGTCAAGGTTAGATTATTGCCTCCATCTCCTACTCACTTTCTTCAGAAATTAGTTAAACCAGGCTCATTGTTTGCCCATAACTCCATTAATTTTCTGTTGAACTACAGGAGTTGGTACAGAGTGCCCTGTATGAAAGCAGTTCTGCTAGAGATGACCGGATTTTCTATAAGAAGCTTGTGAGGATTAGGGATCTATGAACCGTGTAAGGATTAGTTCTACAAAAGAAGTCTCTTGTTATTAGATATTCTCACATCTTTGCATATTTTCTCTTCAGAATTTACTACATAATGATAATGTTTTGGCACATAGAAGTCTACAATCTGCCATAAAAACTGCTTGAAACACATTTTAGGGCTAAACATTTATTTCATTCTTATTATTATGATGTGTTCAAACGCATGATTCATCTATGCAATTACTGCTTTATTTGCCTAAGGGGTTCAGCTGTGAGAGGTTAAACTGGCAAAGCATATTGAACAATCATTTGCTTATTGTTTAGGAAGACACACTGTATTTCTGTTTGCATCTTTAATAAGACTTTTTTGAGGAACTTCGGATATTTGGGGAACAATCATTTGCTTATTGTTTAGAAGAATTGTTCGGATATGTGAGTGTACACATTATGTATATAGTGTGCATTAAATCAGTGTAAATATTGTTTGTACAGTGTATACACTCACAGTTTGGACGGTTCTTCTCGTTCGGACTCCGCACAGAATAATCTCTTTGATAGAGCGGTGGTCTTGTGTGATGTGGGGTTTTGTTGATGACTTTTTTTAATTTTGGTTTTGTTTTGGATGATTTTTTTACTGCTTGGCAAAATATGTTCTAAGTATAACATAAATTTATTTTAAAAAGTTAAAAAAAATTATCCCAAATGAAGCCTTTGTCTTAATGTTCTCACCTCGAATCGGCCTCCCAAGCTTAGTTATATTTCTTTTTAAGGTCATTCACACCAGTTTTGTCATAACCATGTCACACTATAAAAAAACTCCTTTTAATTGCTTTTTTTAGGTATTTAAATGTCAAGAATTCAAAATTAAGTGATTTTAGATTTGTTGGATTCATCTCACTATGATCTTTATTTTGACTAAATGTATGCATAAGTTAGTATTTTAGATCATGATTCTCTTGATATTATCAAAATCAAAATTGCTTTAAAATTCATGCTCAATAAGATGAGTTTTCTAGTAACATTTCAGCCCACTTGTGTCGTGGGGTCGAGTCATGATGACTCATGAGTTGGCTCGAGCTCGATTTGATAACGAGCTCATGCATGGAATTTGAGCTCGATGAGGTTTAGCTCGTGAGTATGAAAATTGACTTGTAAGTAATGTAGCTATTAAGATTTTTCTTTCTTTCCTTGATAATCAGCTAAGCCTTTTGTTTGTTTTTGTTTTTTAAATAAAAGCTGCTACTAGAAGCCACTATAGCCTCAAAAACTAAAAGCTGCCCCTTATATTAATAAAAAAAAATGAAATGTCTACACTGTTCTATTTTCCAAGAAGAAACAAGCTACTATCGGTCTAGGCTAGAGGTGTGAGTTGAGCGGGCTCGCGAGCACAGTTTATCGAGCTCATGAGTTAAGTTTGATCGTTTGAGCTTGATGAGACTCAGCTCGTGCTCGAGTTTGAGTTTGAGGAAACAGTGGGAAAAAAAAATCGGAAAAAAAAACTGAGCGGGAAACCTGAAAATCCAGGCGTGAAATTGGAAAAATAGGAAATTGAGTGGCTAAATGAGCTCGTTACACTGTCACGAGTCGAGCTCAATATTGGACTCGCGAGTTGAGCTGGAGCACCCCCTAATTCGAGCTCGACTTGACTGCTTTGCACCCCTAGTCTTGCCCCCCTCATAAAAACAAAACGGCTTCTTTTTCTTTCCGGGTTTAACAAATCGGTGTTAAATCAACATCGTAACTTGCAGCCATTTCATGAGCTCGCAGCTCAATTCCGTTGCAACGCGCTGAGCTTGCCTTTCAAGCTCGAATAAGATTCGAGCTCAGATTTGACCGATGAGCCAAGCTCTAAGTTGACATAACTTGAGCTCAACTTAACTCATTTAAACTCCTAATTGAGTCATATGTTTTGTGAACTCCAGTGACCCATTATTCTCCCCTTAAAAACATCTGCAGATCAACATTTTTTAAATAACGTACACAACTGAACTATGTTTATGCCATTATAAACCCCAAAAGTTGCAGATAATTAACATTTTATATATAATAAATGGCAGCCATTACATTATATGGCTAATCCAAGCCATGCCCAATAACCAAATTCAACAAAGCAACAATGAGAGATTTCAAAAAATAAATAAGTAAGATTCTTACATAAAATAGGACTATTACAGAAACTACATATAGAGAGAATTAGCTCATCTCTCTTCAGTTTTATGACAAAACCCAGAATTTCTGTAAAGAATTAGAGCAGCTACAACAGCAAAGAACTTAGGCGCTATGGCTTAAATATCTGATTGGCTTCAGCTTCAATTGTCTCAGCCACCATGTTTCCAGATGTACCTATAGATAAATCTGGCTTTAGTAAAGTTTTCAACTTTTAAGTTTAGTAAATTCTGAAAATTATTTGATTGCAACCTCACGAGCTGGCTCGCGAGGTTGCTTTCGTTGTGACAAGTCGAGTTTGAGCTCGTCCTTGGAGCTTGTCGGAATTTGAACTCGCAAGTTGGCTAGCGAGGCGAGCTTGAGCTCGGCTCGACTCGTTTAGATTCTTGGTTTGAAGTAAGAGAATTAGAGTCATATTGCCTGGCAAATTTGTTAAAATTAATTGAGATAATTAGGGAGTTTATTTTTGTTAATTATTCTTAATTATGCAAATGGTGATTGCGTAATATGAGTTAATTATTTTGTAAGTGCTAATTAAGTCAAGTGATAGTAATTAGTTAATGATTAGGATGTTAATCATCCTTTTTATCAGAGTATAATACTTTTCTAGTAAGAACTATTAATGAAATTTATATTTACTAGAATGTTAACTCTAGCTCAAGATGGACAAGATTAAATTAGGGTGATTAGTATTTAATATAATAATTAAGGGCTAATCAAACTTATGGAAACATTAATAAAACTGTATAGTTGCCAAATAATCAAGTATTAGGAAGATAATTAAGGGCAGGTGCCTTCTTATTATATAATTGGACTGATTAACGTTTAATTATTCTAATAAAACTTATAAAAATAAAATTATAGTATTATTTGAATTAAAATAATAAAGATTAGTAAATTAAATTAAACATATTGAATTATATTCAAAATAATTAAAATCAAGATGCGATAATTAAATATTTATTCAAGCAATTATTTCAAAATTAAAAATATTTATATATCATATCCAATTTTTTAAAAAAAATATTGATATTATAATATGATAATTTTTTTTTAAACAGCATATAATATGATAATTATTTTTTTAATAGAGAAACACCAAACTCCTCCAAAAACCCTATATTTAATTTCAAACAATATTATCTTTTAACCAAGCAAAATCACATGACACTCTCCTCATTTTAAGTAATCCGCTTAAGCAAATGATTAGTGAACCCCCTTAATATTTTTTTTTTAAAAATATTTTTTACCTTTGTTGGAGTATAACAACACTCATTTAAATATTTTCCAATTTAAATAAATTAAAAATAAAATATCTCATTTAAATAAAATAAAAAAATAAAGAAAAATATATTATGGTGACTTGGGTTTCGTTTGGGGCGGCTTTCTTACTTCTCAAAGCATTTTTTTAATACAACAGCATGCCTTTATCCCACTATGTGGAGTCAGCTACATGAATCCTTTTTCTCGATTGTTCTCTATTAAGAATCAAATTCTCATCTAAATCTAATAAAGAAAGGTTATTTGTAATATTTTCTAACCAAGTCTTTTTAGGTCTACCTCTACCTTTCTTAACATAAGCCAAATCTAATACATCTACTTTTCTAACCGGGTCATCATAAGGCCGCAGTTTTGTGTGTATGCAAAAATTAATAATTTTTAGCTAAAAAACTATTTTAAGAATCAGTAATAAAGCCGTCCCAAACGAAGTCTAAAACTATGGGCCGGCTTCTCATTGGCCATCAGCAAAGCAGCAGGACTATGCGCTCGAGCTCTTGCAGGACCTAACAATGGCGACAGGAATTGGGGCTAGGGCATGAGGCCAAACATGAATTAATATATTAACATCGAAATCAGCGCACATAAGATTCTCGCTATCATGAGCAGTTTTAACTACTACTATTACTTAGGTTTCATTTGTCATAGCTTTGTCATTGCTTTCTAAACCAGCTTTTCAGTAAAAAAAATTCTTAAACTACAAGTTTTCGAACTAAAAAGCCGTTTTAAAAGCAATCAAAAAGCTGTATCCTTGCTAGATAATGCTGTAATTTCTGCTCCAAATTAGCAGTGCATAATACTTACTGGTATTAATATTATTGCTAGTTCTTCCTCCACAAGACATCTGGAAAATAGATTGAACTCCCTGCATCAGCCCTGGACTGTAGAACTGGAAATTGGTTAATATTCCATCCACACAGTTAAGCATCAACATCATTTGGCCAAAGCAGGGGGTGTTGCAGAAGCGATTTGTTGTTGCAGTTCTATTGGAAATGCGCCTCATCCATCTCATGCAACCATTTGTCACCTGCAATGAAGTTTTTTTGGTGTTTGTATGTCAGTATGTTATTTGTATGTTAATGATGATGATCATAACAAGAATTGGTGGGTGTTCATTTTATTATGTTTTTTTTTTTTGCTTTTCTAATTGCATGTTTGATGTTTAGGGTTTAGGGTTGTATTTCATAGCAACTATCATCATTAGTTTTTGATTGTGTGAATTTGAATGATGTGTTGTTATGACGTTTGAATGTGATAAAATGTTAGATGTAGGGGGTGTTAAAGTGGGTTAATGGATCAGATTCTGATACGACCTGAATTTAGTAAACCTGAATCATGTATTCGAATCTAACCATTTGATAAACGGGTTAGAACGACGACCCGAGAAGCTAATAACCCGAATGACCCGTTAAACAGCTTTAGTTTTAATTTTTGTAAAACTTATTAATTATTAATATATATTTGATAAAAAAATAAGAAGATTTTACTCATATGTTTAAAAAAAAATTAAATGGGTTATTTTCGGATCAAAAATCGATTTGCGGGCCAATTTGAAATCGACTCATTTAATAAACGGGTTGGAAAAATCGAACTAAACGCAACCCATTTATTAAACGGGTCAATGAGTCAAGTAATTATTGACACCCTTAGCTGATTGTAAAAATTTGAAGTCTAACATCATTAAAATTCGGCTTGGTACTTTTTTTTTTCGTTATGATTAATTTAGTAAGTTTTCACCATTTTATATGGGGGTGTCGGAGGGTGTTTTAATTTAATTTGAGATTGGTCTGACCCGAATATACTTGATCCAAATCTGATGTATTTGTTTATAGGGTGAAAATATTTGAGCCGAGAACCGTCCTAATCATGAATCTAACCTGTTTAACCTATTTATTATATGAATTATGTAATTTTTTTTGAATCAACATGCTTGTTTAATTAGAATACCTGCTTTTTAACCTAAATACGATGGGTTTAACTTGAACTCAATTTGTTTAACTTCAATTTGATGATAATCATATCAATTTTTAGTCAGTTTTAGGTTTTGAATCAAACAAATTTGACTTAAAATTAATCAGGTCATACCTGAACCCGATTATTTTTAATCAGTTCCATTTCAAATTATGTGTTTGGTGGACCCCCCTAGTTTCTTATATTCTTTATCTATAGAGAGATGCTGATGATCTTACTTTAAATTTTCTAATTGATTTAATCCCTATTATAAAACAGCTTAGATACTTAAATGTTTGTTTGAAATTTGTTCTTGCTGGTATTATTTGATTAGATCTTGAGTTGGTTTGAATTTCAATCTGATTAGTCTCTAATTTTTTTTCTTTATTTTATAATTTGTTTATGTACAATTAGGGGTGTCAATTTTTGACACAACCCGGAAAAATCCGGGTTAGGGTCAACCCGAACCCGAAACCGGTCGGGTTCGGGTTCAAGAAATCAAACCGTTTTAAAAATCGGGTTGGGTTTGGGTTGACCCAGCAACCCGAAAATGACCCGAAATTGACACGAAAACTCCTATTTGACCCGAAAACCCGAGATTGACCCGTTTTTTACCTGAAAATCAAAGATTGACCAAATTTTGACCCGAAAAACTAGCAATTTCAGGTCAACTTTGGGTCATTAGTGTCGGGTCGGGTTGACCCGGACTCGAATCGGGTCGGGTTTGGGTCTAGAAACCTGACCCGTTTTTAAAAACGTGTCAGGTTCTGGTTGACCCGAATAGTGCCGGGTCAATTCTGGGTTCGACCTGAACCCGACCCGTTGACCCGAATTGACACCCCTATGCACAATAGTATATATTTCTGTGTGTGTGAGAGGTGAAATTATTCTATGTGGATATGGATGCCGTCTAGAGGTGAATCAGAACACGCAACGTCATCCGTTTGCTGTGTACCATTGCTGTATACTGGGTGATGTGACAAGTTCTGATTTACCTCAGAACGCCCCAGTATCTGCACATAATAATTTCTCGTGAGAGAGAGAGAGAGAGAGAGAGAGAGAGAGAGAGAGAGAGAGAGAGAGAGAGAGTTATGTTACTAACAGTCTGATTGTCGAAACAAAGTGCAGCTCTGGCAACAATCTGGACTGAATCTGCCTGTTGAGCTGCATCATTACACATCACAAGCTTCTTAAGAAAAAAACGTTAAGTAACTAATTCAATTTTAAGTAATTAAGCCCTCCAAAAATTCCCATTAAAGCTCTCATATATCAACCAGACTAACTGAGATGAACTCATTATCAAACACAAAACAAGTTTTTTATCCAAAAGCAACAAGACGAGGCTAAAAAAAAGTTGCAGAAGAAGATTACAACAGACCTTTGCAGCAGAAGGTTGCTAATGAGAGCAGACAAATGACAAGCAAGTGCTTGGGAGAGAGATAAAGATCCATTATACTAATAAAATAACTTCAAAAGTCCTTCTAAATTAAGCTCTTCTGTTAGAAGTTAACACTCTATCTCTTCGTAGAAGCAGCTTGAATTTATAGTGAAGAGCTCAGTAGTTATAAGTAGTTTGAAGCTGATAGCGAAATGCCAACCAATTACACTGAAAACAAATCATTTTCAGTAGAAAGAGAAGAAGTTTAAGTAAAAAGAAACATAGAAACTCTCTTATTCTGAAGTAACGTGGAGAAGATTGTATCTTGAGGCATTTGGCTGTTGAAATAAAGGTAGCGAGATAGTTATGGTTGTTATTTTCATAGGTTTTAGTTGCCCAGTTTGGTGTACAACAATCACCAACTTTTTATATCTTGGAAGCTTTTTTTCAAGCACTAGAGAATTTTGGTGAGTCTTTATAATTAAAAAGGTTTACTATGTTTGGAAGCTACCTTCATCCAATGGAAGATTTCATGTTCTTGAAATTCGAACTTGATATTACATGTCGGAAATGTCGATATGGGACAATATTTTATATATGCCGCTAGAATACAGCATAAACCGCCGGTAATTTCCGCGGTCTGACCGCCGAAAAAAGTGACGGTAAATGTTCTCCTGCGATGTACGCACTGGTAATTTCCAGCGGCTAGATCAGCCGATAAAGATTGCCGCCGGAAATAAACCACTGGTTTCAATTTTCTATGCAGTTTTTACCGACAGTAAAAAATATGTCTGGAAATCACTGAAAAACCTAATTGTTGCCGGAAAATCACCCTTTCTGCAGTGATACATTAACATTAGAGTACACTTTATCTTGAATAAATTTGTCTGCAAGATATGGAAAATGAGCACATAATAGCCTTTTGTTGAGATAAATGGATAAAGTTAAATCACATTATGATTAATTGGAGTTCAAAAGTGTTAAATTTCTATATCACAGTGAAAAATTTGAAATCTCTCATATATGTAGTTTTGTATGGAACACAATTACTTGGTCAATTAATTAATTAATGTGTAGTTGAAAGCATAAGATAAGGGGATTAGGTGTAAGGTTTAGTGTGGTTGTAGAGCTCTTCTATCTTGACTCTTTATGACAACTACCACACCAGACTTGCTTAATTAAGTCCTTGGTTGACACATGAGCTCTTTTTCTCTCTATTTCTTATTGTTTCCCACACTGTTACAGGAAATAGTTTGAAAAGAGAGGCTCTCCTTATCATATTCTGGGTAGAGTTTTGGCCTATCTATATGAATGTTAGGAGAGCTGAACCCATTAAGATGATCTATTGTTTATTAGTTTAATTGATTGGAAAGAGTGTCTTTAAGAGGTAAATTACACTTAGATTGTACATTTGGATTTTAAAGATTTTTATGTCTCTTTTAAGGTCCTGTTGCTTGATAATCTGGTCTTTGAAGTACCACACATTGCTTAATTTCTACTAAAAGTAGTTGTTAAGTAGGCTCTTGTGATTAAGCATTTGACCCTTAGTCCAATGTTGAAACATCTACTTATGGTACGTCATTAGAAAATTCACTTAATTTGGAATGAATCTCGATGCAATATTTAAATGAGAAACTTTAAATTAAATTTGGGATCATCTAAACTCTAATTTTAACAGACTTATAGTTGAACTGAATGCCGATGAGATAGATCTAAGGACACCAAACTTGTTCTGATTCAACTAAAAAAATGTCCCAAATTAATTATTTAAAGCATTTTTGGAAACTTAATAATATTAGTTGGAGGATTAAAATGATAAATAGACCATATTCTTCATATGAAGGGTGTTGGGACCTAAACTTGAAGCTGGAGAGTGATTAAAAAACTGAAGAACAATAGAGCTAAACCCAACATTCAACATGTGTCGTTGATCACAACTAATAATTGTTGCCTGACATCATCACATGATCACCTTTGCCCAGATAATATTGCCTACCCAACATGTGTCAATGATCACAACTTACTAGAGAATTATCAAGGATTCCACATATCTTTTTCGGATTTACTATAAGTTGTCTTTGTTTTTTTTTTGGAGGTTTTCATCCTAGAGCTTTTTACTACTCATTGATAAGAGAAGTTGTTTGCTTCTATGTTGATTTTATTCATTGAGTAAAAGCACGAGTTAGCACTGACGGGGCCATCAATGTCATCAAAATATGTATGAATAATCCTCTAATAAGAATACGAGTATTAAAGTTGTTACACAAACTTCCTAATGAAGAACGTAGGAACATCCAAGTGACTAATGTCCTTCCCACCAAATTCAATATGAGTCATTTGATTATATCATATTAATTACATCCAAGCTAAATTTTAATTTTTGTACTAGAAAGCAGCTTTAAGAAGTAGTAAGAAAGTAATCCCAAATGTAGCCTTAATATCCATTTTGAAAGCTAATTTTTTTCATATTGTTGTAAGTTCTTCATGTAATATTATGATCAATGTATAAAAAAGAAGAAGAGTGAGAGCCATATGCGAATTTTTTTTTTTTTTTTGGTTGGCTTTTTTATGTTTCTAGAAGGTCTTTGGTGGCTTGGCTTAAGAAGCTATTTTCATTCCCCATCCAAGCTATTCTACTTTTAAAAAAGTTACTTTTCCCACAAAATCTTTATAGCCACATTTACAAAAATTCACAATCGTCCCAAAAAGACCCTAAGTGTTTGCGTATTTATATTAATTTATTTCATGTAACCAAATAGATGAAGAGGTAATTCACTAGGCCAACTAGGAGGATTATTCATTTGGAGGAGAGCTAAAAGTGTTCAAGAATGAAGACTCAAGTGAAGATTCAAGGCCTCCATGATTTTATTTGGGGGTATTTTTTATTTTATTTAATAATAGTTTTCTAGTATATGATAAATTTTTAATTAATATGTTATTTGTAATTATATACTTAGTTGACAATTAATTATGATATTGATCACATTTGTTTGGTATCAAGTTTAATTTATTCTTACTTTTGCATTATATATCTTAAATTTCCTTAATTAGGCTTTGTATGCTAATTGCTTTATCAATAAACTAATTAGGAAATTAAGCTTAATTTGAATATCAATAATATTTCTTAATTAAGCATTTAATATTTTGGAATATTTAATTAGTTCTAAATATTTTATCCATTATGATAAATTTCTTAATTAATTTAATTTAATGTTAATTATATTTGATAGAAATTAATCTTAGGTTCATGAATTTAACTCTAATTTGATTTTCTTGAGTTCTTTAAGTTATTTACTTTCATTTTGATATATAATATTGTTGTATTTATCAATCACAAGCATGCCCATAAGAAGTTTATTTTGGTAACATTATTTTTAATTCAATATCATAGGCTTTATGAAAGAGTAGTTTTTATTTTATACCTTTCTATTTTATGTGTAAATATTGATTTATAAATTTAGATGATAGCCATTATGCCACATTTCGAGAGAAATTTGACTAGGTAAATTTCTCTGATATTTAGTGAGTTGGTAGCCTAGCCCATAGAGATAATTAGATGACTAAGATTTTGTTTGTGATAGCTTTTGACTATTACGTATGTTTTCGTTGCTTTTGATAAAATTTTGCACTATAAAGTTGCTGTAGAAAGTAGTAAGAACGCTGTTTCAAATGATGAAGCCTAAGACTTTGTTTAGATAGCTTTCCAATTGTCCCAAATGAAGCCTAAGATTTCATTTGAGACAGCTTTCTTACTGCTTTACTTTTTAGATCGAATCATAATTTCTATTTGATTATTGTTTTTTTATCAATTTTAAAAAATATATACTAAAAAGTTATTTTCCATAACTTTAAAAAGTTGTTTTCTCTATATTAGTTTTATAAATCAGTAATAAAGTTATCCCAAATGATGCCTAAGTTGCACTTAAGACATAAGTATTCACCACCAACTAGAGGCGAGAAAAAAGTTGGATTTGCGATGAAAAATCTGGATAGTTAGAATTTTGTCGGCGGAGGGCTTATACATATTTTAGGTTTGGTTTGGTGGCCAAATCATGTAAAAATTTTTCTTTGTATCTCAATTGCTCTATAAAACAAAATTTTATTTTCTTGCACTTTGTTTTATTTAATAAATTGATTGGAATTGTATTGAGGCTTGTTGATTATCTAATTCATATGATCTCTTGTGCTACTATGTGTAGTAAATATATTCTATTAGGCTCAATTTACTATTACTCTTACTTGTAGCATGCTCATTTGTCATCACCATACATTGTGTTTGGACGCTTCTATTAAGCTTGTGAAGTTGAGGCTTTGTTTGGAATAACTTGTGTACTGCGTTCTAAAGTAGTTTTTTAGTATAATATTTTTTTGAATTAAAAATTTTTGTACTAAAAATTTGTTTTAGAAAGCAGTAAAAAAGCTGTCCCAAATGAAGCACGAAAAATTCTTTATATTGTGCTTAATTGACAATTTGACATATGCTCACTTGCATAACTTAATCATTTAGATTACATTTTAATAAGGCTTGTGTGGTGTCACTCATAAGATTTAATTAATTGGTTGCAAGCTTACATCACATAATATTCTTGAATGTAATAAATTATATTATGAAAAATACTTGAAAACTCTTTGTATAAGTTTATACGCATCGTGATGATTTCTCGCTGCTTTTAATAAAATTTTATGTTAGGAAACTACTTTTTTACTTCAGCTTTCAATAAAGTTATTTTCTCCGCAATAAGTTTACAACCATATTTATAAAAAACTGGAGCCGTCAGACCCTTAATCTCATACTTGCGTATATAGTTTTTGGAATTTGAAAAAAAAAAAAGAGGTGTGCCTTTATCTATTAATTGATATCAGAGCTTAATAATCTTTGTGAGTCTCATTTCTGTTCAATACCAATTCCTAATAATTTTTCTTAATTCAATCGATCATGATTATGAGATTTAATAATCTAAGAGTCAAAGATTCTTGTGATACTTTCATTGATTTATTTTAATAGAAATTCTATGATTTTCTTATATTATTTGCTAACCTAAATGATTTATTAGTAATGCTTCTACTCCTAATTGTGATCATGATATAGATTATTTATCCTAAATCTCAATTA